TAATCTGTTTTAGCCTTACAGCGATGTAACATCAAAAAATCTTTTACACCATGCAGCTATATTGTATGTTTATTAAGCTCGACTGAAAGTTTTGGATTTACTCCTCTAGTGTATAAAAATATTTTGGCAACATTGTATGTATACTGGCTTCTTGATCTGCTTCAAATCCTTTTGAAACGCACGGAATGCCGGTTAGGTGCGAGAAGGCGGCCAATCAAACGACCAGATCCGATTTTATAACGAATACACTATATTCAGTCCGCGAGATTCACGGTCAACTGGACGCCATCGTCCGTTGTTGTTGTTGTTTATTATTATTAAATCAGATGTTTCAACCATCTACCATCTATCCTTCGCGGTTTCACTCGACCGAATATATCGCCTTTATATTATTAAAAACACTGTCTGTTACGATGCGGTCGTCGGCAGGTGTTATTATTGTTACTAGAATATTTGATGCGAAGTGCGACGTACAGGACCTGCAGGAAGTCATCATGCACACTTTCGTTTAATTGTCACCTGAATATTAAGCAGGAATGCCTATCTATCAGCAATGCAAACAGAATTCGAACTTGGCAAGGACATTCTTACACTTCAGTTCGTTTGTTTGAGGAATTTGATTCGATTTGCATACATAGGATGGGCCAGCAAAGCTCAAGAATGATGGCGAATAAATCTTAAAGAAAATAGTGCTGTTTTGTCTTTTGTCCGATGCCAATGTTTTGAGCACTACAACATGCGACATTGTATAAGGACTTTTTATATCGTCGTGTGACCAAGGATGAATCATTAGCGAAAGACAACTTTGTGTGGCGCAAATCCAGAATTCTAAATTCCAAATTACGGCAGGAGTCTTTAAATAAACATGCTGTCATAAAACTCAACATTTTAGGAATATCTAAGCTATATCTATTGTAAAATCCTAAAAATTGAAAAAATAAAAAATTTAAGTGTCTGTTCACCTTTAGATACTGTTCTAACTAATCAAAACCTTTCTGTTTTGTTCAATTTTGGGGGTGGAATTCTAATAACAACAACAAATAGAAATGACGCGCTCTATTGTTATATCTCTTGATGATGATATCATTTGGATACTTTTATGAGAGAATTTTCAAATATAAGGTCAATAAGGTAACGCAAGCTCTAAACTCTAATGTTTTAAAAATACCAAAATGTATATTTACACTTTGTTTTCGTAGTTTCAAGAATAGTTGCAAGTCTCATTAGTTTCTAAAATTATATCTATATATATAAAAGAAAGTCATCTTAGTTACACCATTTATAACTCCAGAACGGCTGAACCGATTTGGCTGAAAATTGGATACTTTTTATCACGTTCTACGAGAAAAACGTGGTATATGTAAACGTAACTGACATGGAATGACAAAACGCAAATGACAGCAAAACGAAAAATTTATAAATCAAATCATCAGTCCAGCCGTTCATTTGTTAAAAATGGTATAACAAAACGCAACTGACAGCTAAACGTAATGTTGTCTATGGTTAAGTATGGTGTTTTATTTATAGTCAGATTTACTTGAAACTTGGCTTTAATGCTTTTTCATATCAAATTAGTGCCATACATACCTATTTCAACATTTTACAAAATTCTAACCTCTTTAGGAAGCTGAAAGGGGTTTGCAAAGATTGCATGTTTCTTTTTGGTCCGATTTACTCGAAACTGGTTAAAAAATTCAATCTCTGTAATGTTTAAATGGAACGTATATTATTTGTGGTCAGATTTACTTGAAACTTCGTTTTAATGGTCTCTCATTTAATTTCTAAAAGAGCTATTTCGACATTTTAAAAAAGGAAAAGGTGTTGCAATTTTTGTTTTGTGGTTGAATTTATTTGAAACTTGGTATATCTGTTTTATATTATTAATCAAATGAATAAAGATTGCAACGTTTCAATGGGGTATATTTTATTTGTACTCTGATTTACACGAAGGTTACTCATTGTTGAAATTAAGCAAATACGTGTTTTGGCAATTTTTAAAAATCAACCCTTACGGATGAAATGTTGTTGCTACGTTTGTATTTGAAATCTAAGATGGCGATATTATATAAAATTAAAACGTTGTAAGGGTGAATTGGGAATTAAAAAGTTTTATGGAGAAACAATATTAATTTCTGCGAGCGAAGCCGCGGGGGGGAAAGCTAGTTATTTATATAATAAGTGCTACAGCAACTATATTATGAACATTTATTTATGAAACTATGTTGTTTTGGTTGCAGAGCTTTTCCTTTGTTTCGAGAAAGTAAAAAAGCTAAGAATTCATTTATGTAACATAAAATATTTACGTTTTGTTATTATTATTAAGAAAATATTCGATTTTTCATCATGGAGCGGTTTCGGGCGGTCATATTTTAGCGCAGGAATTTTCTATGAATTAATCAGATAATATAAAAAGCTATAAAATCATAATGTTACCGAAGTATATTCATTTCCGTAATTAATTCTGAATAATGTTAGAACGAAATTGTAAAAGGACTTCTTTCAAGGCGTGTAGTATTCAGAGAAAATTATGGAAATCGAAAACAATAAAATACAGGCATCGGTAGTTTAGATAACGGTTTCATAACACGGTAATAGCTAGATTTCATTGTATACATTTTCTTATAAATTAAAAACATCTGTAGAACATAATTTACCATTAAATGCCACATAAAAGTTAACAATATTACATAAAAGTTGGTTAAACTCGGATAGCTAACAAGAAGGTGTCGATGCCTTTCCCTTGAAAAAGTTTAATAAACAAACAAATTTGTATTCAGTAGAATATTATTTTTTATTATTGAGAAATACCACAAAAGAATAAATATTGACAAAAGGTAATTATACTGTCCTGATTCGGTTCTGGACGTGGAGTCCTGCATCAGAGATGGAAGGACTTTTGAAGAAGATCGCAACTCTTGCTTGCGAAATGTTAAAAATCAACTCAAACCGATGACGACCTTTAAACTCGAATCAAGACAACACCAGTTAACCTTTACCAATTTTGTCAAAAGGAATTTAATTAGTATATTTTTGACTGAAAACGGAGAAGTGTATTGAACTTTAGGGTGGTGTGAATTGATTCCACCATTTTGGTACTAGCTAACGTTAAATTATTTCACTAATTTTATTGTCGTTAACTGTCAAATTAGGTTAAGATTAAACGTCAAAGGTCTTTTAGTTAGAAAAAAAGTAGGCTATAATAATAATAGGTCATAAGATCAAGTGGCACAAATATGCTATTGCAAGGACAACTTGTACCCCTTTGTAACCTTTAATTGTCATTCAAATTCAATTTTTGTTAACGGTTAAGTGAAATTGTTGCAAAATAAGGACACATTTCATTACTAACAATAAGTAACATATTGAATTTTATTTGACCTTTACTTAATGAAAATCCCTATCAAAATAAATGTTTATTTTAAATTTTAATTAAATTAATTTCTTTCAACCGTTAAGTTAAACGGTGGTGAAAGTATATTGGGAATTGTCACTCTTTAGCAATTTCATTATTGCCAACCGTTAGATTTAGTGGACAAATGGTGTATATAGCTGGCGATCTTGGCAATGCTGCCAATGCTCGTACTTAAAAAAACATTTGAAATTAAATATCTATTCAAGTATACGTTTAGATTAACTTTAACTTCATGTTCAATGGGAAATTAGTTTATCAATAATTTCATCGATTTACCTTTTATAGAGATTTTCTTTCATTGGTAATTTCAGCCTCTCTAGTATCAAAAACAGAATGAAATGCAATAAATAATTATAGACTTACAAACCGCAAACATCGACTGGGTTTGTACCGACAGAATTATTATTGAGAGAATTTCCGCAGTATATAATGTTACTTCTATTTTTAAAAACTCATATAATACCTGAGCAATTTAAGCCAAAAAGTGTATTAGAAACACGTATCAATACCATCAATGAAACTTGATATTGTCAACAATACTCAAACGGTTATATTCCATTGTACATATGCAGTGTAAACTCTTTATAACGTCACTCGATTTAACGACAAAGTCCTTAAAACGTCGAAATTGCTTGACTTTGGTTGGTTTACATTGTTTTCTATACAATATTACACTCTATATAGCGTCACGCTCACTCGCGGCATTATAAATCATTGAGCAGTACTTTCTAAGTTGCCGAAATAGATAAGAACTGCAGCTGTGTACGTTGTTGAAGAAGACGATCCTGTCCCTCCACCAAGCATCAAACAAGCACTTGATGCAGCGAAACTCTTAAAAAAATACTTTTTATATAATCAAATTAATCCAGCAGTATCTCAAGATGAGTAAGATACGTAACAAAGTACAATTAAAATATTGGAGCAGCAAAAACATCAGACGAAGATAACAGGCTATACGCAATGTATAAATAATAATGTTCGTGTGCAAAATGTGTACTATGTTGGTAAATGCATATTATTATAGAATAGTTAAATAATATCTTTCATTTCCCCTTCATTTAACGACCACTCTTTATAACGCCGAAAAATGTTCAGTCCCTTAAGTGTCGTTATATAGAGTGTACACTGTATTTTAACATTAGGGTCCGAAAAATCCTATTATTGACATCAGTACTGTCTGGGTAATATCGAAATTCACAACTTATTCAAAGATAAACAGTTAAAACTGTTAGGCAGCTTTAACAAGGAATATACAGAGACAGAGCATAAAGTGAAGCTTCAGAAGAGGATGGATGACGTTCGTACAGTGGCGCCTAAATTTTATTGGCTGTAACTCAGTTACTTCGCGTTCGTGGTGCGGGTAGCCAACAAAATTTAGACACCTTCTACATCGGCGCATTCCTCATGACAGAGACGAAGACCGTCCCGTTAGTTTATGTTCCATCCCTATATTCCTATCTACGTGATAAACCCATTATACTATTCTAACAGGTAATGGTTAGACTTAAGGGAACCCTAATCGGACCTACGTTATTTCGTCCAGATTAAATAAGACATATTTAGGTATCAAGGGTTAACAAGGACTTACCAAGACTATAATTTGGATTGGACCATCCTGCTTTGAAGTTCGAAAAATCTTCGTGTGATTGTTGGCTCTGGCATCTTCAGAACTAACTTCTGTCCTGTAAAGGATGTCAAACATATAGATAACTAATTTCTTCCAGAAACTAAATGATGTTCTTAGGAATTGAACTAAATAAAATACTAAAACTCAAAACCTGTTTAGATTTTATGAAGAATTTTTGTTTTTAGTGTTTTATTTAGTTTATGATGAATTGTAGAAAAAATAATTAAAATATGCATATAATCTAAATTAAATTTACTCTAGGCAATCGCTTCGGTCTACTGATTGACAGACAGATAGATAGTTTTATTAAAAATATTATGTTCTATATGTACCTACAAAGTGCATTTATGTACATTTACTTTATACTTATACAAGTTTTACAAACTAAACATTTTATTCTTCTTGTTTTTCTGATAATTTCTTCTCCCATAAGATTTCCCTCGTCCTTTTTAGACCATCCTTTCGTTCCATTTGAATTTCCCACTTTTTGCATCATTTTCTGTTATTCCACATCTCTCAAATATATGTACAGAAGTAGTACATTTTATTCTCTTTATCTTGTTCCCAGTACCTTGCCGTCCTATTCTTAGTTCCCAGTCTAAATCTCGCTATTAAAACTCATTCGTTTTTTTCTCTTTACTCTTTCGTATTTTACATAATGTGGTTTTTACTCCTCTTCTTTCCATATTTTCTTATATTCCTGTGTGAATTTTAACTTTCTCATTATTCTCTTTGTTTTTACACATCAACGTTTTTAATTAAAATTTTCAGTTCTTTTTATACACTTTTATGTTTTCCAGTTAATTTCCATCTGTAGTACTTGATTGTCCATCTTCTTTCCATTAAACAACTCTTTCTTTCCGTTGTAATTTTCTTTTCTGTGGTTTGAATATTCAATATATTTTATCTTTAACTCTTATATATTTTCCTAATGTCACATTGTCTTTTGAATGTTAATATTTTTTCTACGTACTGTTTTCGAATACTTTACGGCTAATTTTTGTTTACATTTCTTCTTATAGAAGGTATTTAGGTGTCTTCCTTACTGTACAATCAATACTTCTAAAAAGCAGTAATAGAGGATTTCCGTATCTCATCTGTATGGGAAAACTTTAACTTGGAATATTCATTTGTACGTTCTATACGAATATATATATTGTAGTTCCTCTCTCTTAGTGTATGTTAATTTTATTATTCAGGCAAGTTCGTCTCTCTCTTTTTCTACTTTTCCTTCTTTTTCTTCTTATTCGCCCACAACCTTTTCCAAATCCGCGCACATGAACTGGCATCCTCGTTTTATTTTAGAAAAAGCTACCTATTTAGTACTAGGAACATCTGCACAATTTGATTCAGCAAAACTGTTAAAAATTAGAAATAAAACAAATTTCCGTAAGAGTTCAGCTTAGTTTTCTTCAACAACTATCTAGTATCAAAATATCTATCAAGTAGTTCAAAGCTCAAAATTGGCATATAGTCTCTATCATGTAGGTCCATTTATCAAGAAATCTTTTGCGTGAAATTAAATATTACATATTAATGTAGCTTCTTATGTTTATGCTTTTTCGGAAAAATCAATGTAAATAATGTACAGTAATTATATAAATATGTTACGGTTAATATGCTTATTTGGGTAGTTTGTAAAGTAGCTAGATACTGGATAGTATACAAATAAAAGTCCAAATGTCTGCTTTAACAGATAGGATTAGGGTTATAGGGCCACGGTAGGAGAAAACAAGACTTGCGCATCATATAATTAATGGATATGTTACGGTGAATATGCTCACTTGGCTAGTTTGTAAACTAGCTGGATATCGGATAGCGTACAGACTGTTCAAATATTTGTGGTTCGACGAATATACTCAGGATTACAAGGTTGTGTTAGGAGAAGACAGCACTCACGAATTTTAATGTACATATTATGGTTAATATGCCTACTTGGCTAGTTTGCAAACTAGCTGGATATTGGATATTGTAGAAACTGTCCAAATGCCTGTGATTTGATGAATATCTTTAGGATTGTAAACTTGCGATAAGAGAAAGCAAGACTCGCGTATGTTAATGTATATGTTACGGCTAGTAAGCCTACTTGGCTGGTTTGTAAAATAGCTGGATATTGGATATTGTAAAAACTGTCTAAATGCTTGAGGTTTGACAAATATGCTTCTCTTATACGTTAGGAGAAGGCAGCACATACGAGTCTAAATGCATATGTTATGGTTAATAACCTATTTGGCTATTTTGTAAACTAACTGAATTTTGGATAGTGTACAAATTGTCGAAATGCCTGTGGTTTGACAAATATCTTTAGGATTATAAGGTTACGTTAGGAAAAAGCAGCACTCAGGAATCTTAATGTACATTTAACGGTTAATAACCCTACTTGGCTAGTTTGTAAACTAGCTAGATATTGAATAGCGTACAAGCTATCCAAATGCCTGTGGTTTGACGAATATACTTATGATCATAAGGTTACGGTAGGGGAAGGCAAGACACTTGAGTATACATTACGGTTAATATGCCCTTTCGTATTTTGTGGTTTATTTTTTTCTTCTTTAACTCCGTAAATCAAAATCAAAATTTGAAAATTTTGAGCTTCAATTGCCTGTAAATTATACTAAGAGATTGAATAGATGAACTGCTACTCGTTAGAAAGGTCATTGGTACTTTTAGGCTTAGGATTACGTTTCAACTTTTCCGCTTGTTCGTGGGGTCCAATTGTTGTGCTACAAGTTACCGTAGCGTTTGTTCTCTAATAATTTGTTTGTGTACCAGCGCCACCTTCTCCATATCTATCCACCGACCTGTATAACAAAACACGTGTATTACCGTACACAACACACACACACACACCCACACATACATACATACAAACACATTATATATAATACACTTGCACCTTCCTTCCTAGAAATCGGTTTGGACCAGCAGAGGACGGTGCGGGAGGCACCGCGGAGCTTTTTAGTGTCACAACACTATACCTTTCAGAGGTATTTCGATACAGGTCTGAAGACGAACGAGAAGGATACGGAGAAGAAAAAGGAAGTAGGAAGAGGAGAGGAAAAGAAGGCGATGGTCGTCGGGATCTGAATGCCTCCTCGCACCCTAATAATACCTGTCCGGTGGTTCCAACACAATACAACACACAAACAAATGAAGGAGTAGCATAATAATAAAGGTACGGGATGTCTCGTAAGCATCATTGGTATTGGGAACCGTCAAATGGGCATACACCATCTGGTGGCAAAATTTATAACTCGAATGAGGGAAAAATTAGGAACTGTGCACGCAAATTGTAAAATTGTTTATTAAAATAATAAAACACGTTAAAAAAGTAAAATTGTTTTTGATGATGGAGTCGACGAAGTTTTCTTCTAAAGTTAAATCAAATAAAAAGTTAGTATGTTCAGTGAAAAGCTGTAATAGCACTTCAGACATAGATCTTCACCCTTCACCTACATTAACTACTTTCCAATAAAAACTAACCGTTTTATATATGTAAAAATATATTCGGAAAATTAGAGAAAAAAGTAAACTAATAGAAGCTTGGATGAAAGCAGTAGGTATCAAAGAAGTGAATTCCGGAATAAAAATTTGTTCACGTCATTTTAATGCACATGATTATATTTCAGCAAGTATTTACCATCAGCCATAACCTTAATATTTAAAACTAGAATCATACTAAAATTATAAAGTGAGAAATTATTTATATATGTGTAATTGATTTAACATAATTCTAATGATACGATATAAGTATTTTGAGGTTAAGAACCTACCTGCTGCAATACAACAAAGTTGCAATAATGTGTTTGCATCGGTGCGAAATTGCGGTCCAGCGAGCATCCTCTTGAGGTCTGAGAACAGAAAAAAGTCGCTAGGGGCCAGATCTGGAGAGTACGGTGGATGCGGAAGCAATTCGAAGCCCAATTCATGGAATTTTAACTGTTGATCAGGTGGAAATAAGAAAGCTGCTTCTAATTTGCCTTAACGTTGGAAATTCGAGTCCAATTATTGTTAGTTTTCCTTAAGTTCAATTTCGTTGAGAAAAGTATCGCCTTGGACTGGAAATTTCGTTAAGTAGACACAACAATAGCACTGGTAACCTTATTATCCCAACCTAATCGAACCTTAAGGAAGCGTTATGACAGGAAAAGACAACTTGAATAATGTGAGTGTTGTCATGATAATATCCTTGGTGCTACATCGTGCTGTACCCATATTATTCATCCTTGATGATGGTTAATCCTTGCAATGCAACTGTTGATCAGACAGAAATGAGAAAACTTCTTCTAATTTGTTTCAACAGTTGAAATTTAACACCAATTATAGGTTGTTTTCCTGAAGTTGAACTTTCATAGAGAAAAGCATCGCCTTGGATTGGAAAAAATTCGTTAAGTAGGCACAACGATCGGAATTTAGATTGCTGGTACCGACCAAATGGAGGCTCGTACCGACGGATTCGGCGGCACACAGGTGAAGTACCTACCTACCTAACTAGCTAGTCGCAGGTGAACGGGGAGGGTCACGTGAAAACGATGATGAAGAAGAAGAAGAAGAGGTCGCAGGTAGAGAGCAAGCCGCAACAGCACCTCTCCGCCAACAGCATCACCGACGCCGGTCTCAACCAGCACCGAGCCCAGTTTAGTACCGCGAAAGCTTGCGAGGAGTGCGTTAGTGCTTCGACAAGTGTGATGTATTCACAGTCGCCATTCGTGGTGCTTTTCCCTAGCCCTCGCCTCCCACCTTTTCTAAGGTCGCTGCTGCTGCTGCTGCTGCTGCCGACATGGCAACCCTAGGATTATCCAAGGTTTTCATTCTGGATAAGTACTTCACGGAACTGCAAAAGTTCTGGGAGACCGAAAAGAAACTGCAAGGTGTGTTAGTTGTGTACGTTCTTGCGCTGATGTTATTTGTTGTTGTGTTGAAGTTTGCCGGAGTCACCATTTACCATTCTCCTTCTCTTTCTTCTCTATCTCTCTCTCGCTCTCTCTCTCTCTTTTTGCGTGTGTCTCGTTCAGTCTTTCTCTCTCCGTCTTTCTCATTTTCTGACTCTTCGGC